CCTAACGCAGTACACGTAGCAAGGTGTATATATATATATATATATATATTATACACACACATATACACACACATACACACACATATACACACATATACACACACACAAAGACAAACAAGTAGATAGAATAGAAAAAATAGAAAGCGAGTGTTTTTTTGTTTTGTTTTGTTTTTTTTTTATAAAAAAAAAAGAAGATAAATAGATAAAGTACAATTAAAAGAATAGAGAGTGCTAGAGTTAGAGGGTCAAATAAAGATGGAACAGGTGTGTTTTTAGCCGATTCTTGAAGATGGTTAAGGACTCAGCTGCTCGGATTGAGTTGGGCAGGTCATTCCACCAGGAGGTAACAGTTAATGTAAAAGTCAGTGAAAGTGATTCTGTGCCTCTTTGGGATGGCACAATAATGCGTCGTTCACTTGCAGAATGCAAGCTTCTAGAGGGCACACAAGTCTGAAGTAATGAATTTAGGTTAAATAGAATTTAATTTACTTACCTATTTCTTGTTCAAAGATCTCCACTTCATCTATTAAAGCTGCACACGGAATTACATTATATTAGTTAAATTCATCATTTATTTGTTAAAGTTAATAGATATTAGCATTAAGATGGTTCAGGAGGCTGAGAGTGTCCTTAAATACAAATAAAGAGACCTGTATGAAAAGTGACTCAAGTCAAATTTTAAGTAAGTCATTAAGAACAATGCTGATGTAAAAGCAGGGGACGGTGATTTATAAAAATTTATTTATCTGTAAAAATGTATATCCCAATATGCTTCCCTAAGCCTGCCTAAATCGGTTCATCTTTTGTTGTTTTATTGACAGTGATACAGACAGCAGCAGGTTTATTAGACTGCTGTCCCTTTAAGATAGTAATGCCTAGTCCGATTCATTTCCGTGAACCGGCTCTTTCGGACAGTTTGATTCAATGAACTGGTTCAAATAACATTTAATCGGTTCCTTATGTTACATACGACTAAAACTGTATCAATGAAACATTAAAGTTATTTGTGTGAATGCATATTGCTGATTACTGCCTTTCATTCACTTAAGTTAATGATATATGTGGTCACAGTTTCATTTGCTGATCCTTTATTGATGGATACGACTGAGTTTTTTGACAATTACTAACCATTGGCAAATAACTTTTAAGTATAGTACTTAAAACACATGTCTTCCTGTATCAGTTGCAATACTTACGTGTTTCTTGTTCGGAGATCTCCCCTTTCTTTGTCAAAGCTGCACACAGAAACACAGAATTAGTGAGTGATCAGATGAACATGTCAAAAACACTAAGACGCTGTATGATTCTTAATGTGCTTCTAATAATCACTTCATCATCTGCATGACTTAACAACAGACATCCACAGCACTTATTGGTTAATGTTAATTTATATACATTTTAACATCAGTTAAGTGATGTGTCACATCCAAGACATTTTTATATCAGGGCTACATTAACTCTATACTGTAGCATTTTTCTCTGATTGTATCAGCTGTAATACTTACACATTTGCTTTAATCGTTCAGAGATCTTGCCTTCATGTCACAGCAGCACATAGAAACAGAAACGAGGAGATTATGAGTGAATGAACAGATGAAGTTCTCTGACCTCATTTTTTTACAGAAACACTAAATGACTAAGCATTGTCATATATACATGGACAACTATATTGTACATTGTAGCACAATAAAGCTAATTTTTCTCTGTATATCAGTTTTAATACTTACACAATTCTTGTTCACAGTACTTCGCTTCGTCACAGCAGCACATAGAAACAGAGAAATGAGGAGATTTGAAGTGAATGAACAGATGAACATGACAGAAACACTGAGAAGATACTGTGTGATTCTTCATGTCCTTCTAAAAATCACTTTGTTATGTTAATGACTTTATATGAATTATCAGTAACAATTACTGTAATGTTTTGTGTGAACATTAGTTTAGGCATCATTAATGCGATTTAAAGGGGTCATGACATGAGTAATACAATTATCCTTGATCTTTTGACATAATACTGGTCTGTGTAGCGTTAAAAGAATAGTTCACCCAAAAAAATGAAATTAAAATTATATTGCTTTACACATGCTTATAGATCATTAAATCCAATTATTTTAGATCATTAAAAGTTGTATATATCCCTCCCTTTCTGTCAGTGTATCTGTTTCACACTCTTGCCATTCTAGAGTAACTCCTTCATTGCATAAACACTAAAAACATGTGTAATTAATATACCATATAAATACAGTATATAAATGATCTAATGGATGTATAATGCAAGACTAGGCAAGGAAATATTGTTGGATGAGGCTTCCCAAGATATGAAAGAGAACATAGAAAGCAGCTGTTCTGAGGTAAAGGCCATTTATGAAGAGCTTTTATTGATCAAAATATAAATTAATCAAATATAATCAACGTGAATATAGCCATTTATGTATCAAGTTAGTCTACTATTATAAGCATGTATCTGCCTGTGTGTGTAGAGGCCTGCATGAATGGAATGTGCAGACATTCGGTTTATCGCAAAGCTGCACATCCTGTTTTGACCAAAAATATAATGGGCCTCTTCCTTTAACGTAACATCAATTGTGGCCTCCAGTCTGCTTGCAGGAAGCAGACTGGAGGCGTAGCCAAGAAAAGGTAAACAATGACATGATGTAGGAAATGTATGGAACACGCCTTGAAGGAAATCCTCTATAAAAGATTGTGCAGACACAGACTCAGGAGATTCTCTGCAGAGCCTCTCAACTGCACTATCTCTGATAATAAAGTCTATTTTTCTGGCATCCAAACCCCAAGACTTCAAGAGTGATTCTTTATAGAAACTGCAGGAGCCACAACTCCTGAACTAAACTTGTGACGCAGGATTGATGCATGCGTATCGCTTTTGGGATTCATTTTTATAAGAGCACAAAGGCAACATGAAGGGCTAGCAGCAGATGAAGAGAGGAAGAACCTTGGCCTGATGTTGGATTGAACATGGACTCAACAGGTTCCTTATGAAGACCACGGTCTCATCAATCAAAATACAGTTAAACCCATTCTAGCATCTACTCAGTCAAAAGAAACAAAGCTGTGGCTGAAGCAGTTGCATTTTGGAAAGTTTTAGCAGTGCTGGAAAAACAATAAAGGGAAGCAGCAGTGGCAAAAAGGAAATGGAACTAATTATAATCACTGGCAAGTCAACACTGAGCGTTCACTTTGACGCACGCATCCAGTTTAAACAGCTTGTTCGTGTCTCTGTAGATTTCAAAAAAGATGCCAACGTCAGGAACAAGTGGATGGTTTATTTTTAATGACATCCCGGATCACATCGAAGGATTATGCTTGTTCTGAACATTTCGATTTGTAAACGAGGCAGTGTTATGGAGAGCTTGCAAGAAACTCTGTTGAAAGATGAAGCAGCAGCTGCATCACAAACCGTGAGTTAACACTTTCATAAATTTTGTAAGTGATGGTTTTGTAACACTTATGCAATAGTGAGGGACACGTTTTCCTATGCAATGACATTAACCAATCATAACAGTGACCAGTATATTAATGTCACGCAGCTCAATCCTCAATACCACATTAAATCAAACAAAAGTTTGAAAAACTATATTGTATATTTATACTCTATTGTAGCACAATAAAGCTAATTTTCTCCTGTTGCTTCAGCTGTAATACTTACACATTTGCTTTAGTTGTTCAGAGATATCCGCTTCATGTCACAGCAGCACAACCAAAGAGAAATGAGGAGATAAGTGGGGTTATCAGATGAACATGACAGAAACTACTGGACAATCAAACATTTCATTAATGATTGCACTAAATCAAACACAAGCAGAAATAATGGTAAAAAAAACAATAAAATATTATACATTTAAACTGTAGCACAATAAAGCTTTTTTTTTCTGTCTGTATGAGCTATAAAACTTACAAATTTCCTTTAGTTTTTCAGAGATCTTCACTTCATGTCACAGCAGCACATAGAAACAGAGAAATTAGGAAATTCTAAGTGAATGAACAGATGAACATGACAGAAACACTGAGATGTGCTTCTAATAATCACTTCCGTCATCTGTACGACTTTATATTTATGATCAGTAACAATTACAGCATGGTTTCTCATCTCTGGTCCTCGATATCCACTCTCCTGCTCCAACCCTGATCAAACTTACATGCCTGTAGCTTTCTAGTAATCCTGAAGACCTTGATTAGCTTATTCAGGTGTGTTTGATTAGATTAGATCAATACTTGAAGGACAGAGTTCAGAACCCCTGAATTACAGTAATGGTGTATGTGTGAACATAAGTAAAAGCCATCATTAATGTAAATTAATGTGAAAAGTACTTCCACAGCATTTACCGTGTCATGTAAATTTATATAGAACATTTATAATATACTGTATAATTACTGATGATGAAAAATCAGATTATACATTTAGCCTACTGTAGCACAATAAAGCTTATTTTTCTCTGGCTGTATCAGCTGTAATACTTACATGTTTGATGGTGTTCAGATATCTCAGCTTCATGTGTCACAGCAGCACATAGAAACAGATGAACATGAAGATACTATGATTCTTTAGTGCTTCAATAATCACTTAATCATGTAAATAACTTTGTATTAACAATACGGTATGTTACATCTTGACTTATAGTAAAGCTGTATGTTAACTGGCTAGTTTTTTATTGAACTATGACTGAAATAATTAAATAACAATAACAATATTAATAATAAAGTGCACTTTAAATACCCAGATGATGCACTTAATTAACCAAAAAAAGAAAAGAAAAAAGAAATGTGGAATGTTGGACACAGTGTTGGGGGCATCGCATTACAGTAACACGAGTTGCATAATCAGATTACTTTTTTACGTAACTAGTGAACTAATGCATTCTGAGTTACTTTTCCAAAAAAGTAACATCAGTTTTTTTGTTTTCTACAGTGGCCGAGAGAACTCAATGCACTGCAAATGAAAAAACACATGCAAATAGAAAGGGCTTTTACATTTGCCAAAATAAAACTTTGTATATTAAAAAAAAAAAACACATACAAGGAAGCCCAGCCCAGATTAGAAAAGTAATGCAAAAGTAATGCAACACATTCATTTCCATAAAAAGTAACTAAGTAACGTAATTTTAGGGAGTTACGCAATATAATACATTACGTTTAAAAGTAATTTTCACTGGACACTTCATACACTCATTCACAGCTTTAATTACATAGCAGATGGGGAGCGCTACCCAGATTATGAAAGCAGTTGAGGACCCACAATACACAGTTGAGGATAGTGCATAGTACATAGTGTATATTGCCTCATATGGCACTCCAGTCTGTTACTGTAGCAACATTTACCCACCCTAAACATGACATTGAACAAAGTTACATGTGAATGGTCAGAGTAAAAATATAAATTTTCTCTTTAAAATGTAGTGAAGTTAAAGTAAACACAATATATTGTTATCAACTTTGTTGTCATAATACATGTATGAACTATTGTTGCACAATATTACTCTTGCTGTATCAGTTTTAATACTTACGCAATACTTTTTCACAATCCTCGGCTTCATGTCACAGCAGCATATAGTAACAGAGTATTAAAACAGTATTAACCAACTAAAACAAACAGTATTTACCAAATAAAACATATGTCTTGCTCATTGTTAGATAATGTTAGTAAATGCATTACCTAACATACAAATGCATTACCTAACATTAACTAAGAGGTCTTTATTGTTACGTGTCACTTATAATACTTATCACATAATTAACTAGTAAATATTCATTTATATATTTTATACATCAGTTAAGTGTCACACCCATTATGTTTTTATATTTAATTCAACTTACTCATTTGCTTTAGTTGTGTAGAGATCTCGGCTTCATGTCACAGCAGCACATAGAAACAGAAATGTGGAGATCATAAGTGACTGAACAGATGAACGTCAGAAACACTGAGAAGATAATACGTGATTCTTCATGTGCTTCTAATAATCATTTCATCATCTGCATGACTTTTTATTAACAATCAGTAATTCCGCCTCTGAGCTACAATAATAGGTCTGTAAAAATATCTAAATACCAATTCAAATGCAGGTTTTGAAAATAAATAAATTGCCTAAAAGTTTGAATCAAATAACGCTGCCTGAATAAAATTAAACCATAACAAGTCTCCTGTCCGGTCCAATTCTTTCCAATTTTGTCAATTTTATCACAAAATTCAAACTATAAATGTAATTCTGATGTTCTTTAATGTGGCATGACAGACCGCAGTGAGGAGCACAAGTGAACCGATCATCTCTTCCTCTTTACTACTAGTTATAGCACAAAATAAACATGCATGAACATCAGAAAGTATGTTAAAAGAAACAAAAGAACTTACTGAAATCACTTATTGTATTATGTCTCAGTGTTTCAACCAAGGAAATAAGTCAATAAAACAGGTTGTACATGTACAACCAATGTCACATGTAGTTTTCTAATTTTTTTATTCAGTGGTGGAGACAGGCTTCTATATGTAACACTGTTTCTACCTCCGATATGCGAAAATGAAAATTGAAATAAAATATGTATTTATTGTTCTGTGGAGAGCCAACCCTTCTCCATTCTGTTGATTGTTGCTTCTGGTTTGTGCACTGTAATTCACAGAAAGTCTACAAAATATGTTGTCACCCAAAAATGTCACGTATTTGCCTCATCTAAAATATACAACACATTTATAGACTGATATTTTTCTGATGTCTGGACTCGAGGGCTTTAGAAAAATATAAACAAGACGGTTCAATATATTGGTAATGAATACATTCTATGAGAAAGTATATTTATAATTTTGATTCAAAATGTCACACCCATAACACTGGAATTGCTCAAATATTGATGATGAAATATCATTACACATTTAAATTCTACTGTAGCGCAATAACGCTAATTTTCTCCTGTTGTTTTAGCTGTAATACTTACACATTTGCTTTAGTTTTTCAGAGATCCCCGCTTCATGTCACAGCAGCACAAAGAAATAGAAAAACTAGGAGATTAGGAGATTACACATAAAATGTATTTGTAAGTCACACACACCAGATAAAACTCAAGATAACCGAGCAAAGGACTATGATTTTATGCCAACTGCTGCTGAAATTATATATTTCTGTGAGCTTCAATAGTAGAACAACACCACAACAAACACTGAAAATGATTGATGCTCAACCCCTAATAACACAAAAAGACAATCAAACACGGATCTAAATGTAGTTGTTGTAAATTCAGCAGTTTAAACAAAGATTCAGATTTTAATTCAAAGGTATCAATGTCATACAGCTCAATACTGGACAATCACACAATTCATTAAAGGCACAATATGTCATTTTTGCCGCTAGAGGGCGCGTATTCAAAATAAACAAAGAGGCAAAGGCGTAGTTTGATGACGCCGAGCGTGGAATCATGGGAGTTGTGGTCTTCATCCCCACAGCCGATGCAATCCGACGGGACTCGGGCAGAAATCATGTTAATGGATGAGCTAATGATTTATTAACGTAGTAGAGTGAAGCAGGGTGAGGCTGAAAGCCGTCGAAGCGAAACGAGGCCGCTGAACGAGTGCGACACATGGCTCGAAAGCAGCGGAGCTTTTATTATGCCACAGTTGACCGCTTCCGCTCCTTCCGGTCGTGCGTATGTGGGGAAAAAAAAAAGCAGCGCTGTTTTATCATACTAGATACATTTGAAAGATCTGTTATAATGCTACTCTGTGCGGTCATCACCGGTCTATTAAAACGCACAACATATTAAAATGTCTTTGGTGTTTCCATGTTTTCTACAAAACAAAACCGGAAATCGAGGGGTAATGAAGTCATTGGCAGGCGACACAATGACACTATGGACACGGTCCGTGTCACTAGTTAAAATTGCTTATTTCTCTGGATTTAAACATTCTTCGAAACATGTGGGATAATGTAAGTACACAAGTCAGCAAAATATATAACACTGTTCTAGTGGTTTTTGGATATTTTAATAAAAAAATCTTACATATTGTGCCTTTAACTACTACACTAAATCAAATAAAAGCGGAACATTTATAATATATAATTACTGACAATGAAAAAGCATATTTTACATTTAGACAACTGTAGCACAATAAAGTTCACTTTCAAAGTACAAGTTCACTTTTCTGTCTCTATCAGCTGTAATACTTGCATGTTTCATTTTGTCGTTCAGAGATTTTCGCTTCATGTCACAGCAGCACATAGAAAGAAAATTAGGAGATTATATGTGAATGAACAGATGAACATGACAGAAACACTGAGACATAACACATCAAATTACTAAACAAATCTGTCATTATTTACTCGCCATCTTCTTCCAAACTTGTATGGCTTGATATTAAAGAGTCTTTATGCAGCTCTTTTCCATGCAATGAGTTTATGACCATCAGAAAGATCAAAAATAATATTTGAAACACCAGAAATGTACAATAAATCTCCATATGACTTGTGAACTAGGCAAGTCTTGCTATTATGAAAGCTTCATGTGCAGTTTAAGCAGTTTAATCTACTGTCATGCAACAAAGTTCATTTTTCTCTTTCTTGCTGCATCATCTGTAATACTTACACTTTTGATTATTTAGTTCAGAGTTCTTGCGACGATAAAATAAAACGCCAGCAGCTGCAGTCATTAGCAGTGGAAGAACAACAATCACTGCTACAACACCTGGAGACAGACCTGGTTCTGTAATGATAAAAGAGAGACAGTCATTAGTGTGAATGTGTGTCTGATCTATAACACTAGTATATGTTTTGAGTTCTGAAAGTTACTGTATAACAGTTTTGTACACTGAAGCTTTTCTATTTTAAAGGAAGGTTTGATTTCTCATGATCCGAGCCCTTTAAAGTCACATCATCTGAATTAATCTCAGACAGGTGTTAAACAACCATTACTTCAAAACACTTGAATGCTCACCACTGACAGTTACAGTGAATCTATTGTATGAAGTCTGTTTGTTGCTGCTGATCTTCGCTTTATAAAGTCCAGAGTCTGTGGTTCTGGTTTTTGTGATGATCAGAGATCCAGTCTGATGGTCCAGTTTCAATCCGTCTCTGAATCTCTCATCATAATATAATGGTGAGCTCTTGGCCTCTATATCATGTTTAGCTATGAGTTTTTCTTCATCTCCAAACCGCCACACTATCAGCTCATCTCCTTGTAGTTGAGGAACATCAGTCTGAAGAATGACAGGATCTCCCTCCTTCACTGACACGCTCTTCATTTCAGCTTCAGCCCCAGCAATAACAGATGGAGACTCTACAAGAATCAGATTCACAGACAGAAAATAAATATACTGAACACTGTTACTGGCACTAGAATATGAAGCTTTACAGTTGATTAGTTCATCTTATGGTTACTAAATAAGGCATATGCAGATTAATAAAAGTCATAATAAAATAAAAAGTAATAATAGGGTCAGTTTGACATGTAGAACAGTTACAGCTGGCTTACTAATTTGATTGGACATGAGGCATCTTATTTCATGTCACAACAGAGGAACTTTTTTTTGTTTGTATCACTGCACTTGTCTGTGTTCAAAACATAGAATTACAATTATTTTCTCTATACAACAAGCAATCTCGCTTTGAATGGTTTCAATAATGTTGCTGAAGGGCTGAAACTAAAAATATGTCTATGTACTGTATCAAATGTAAGCCACTCTGTATGAACTTCTTTCTAGCACTTTTCATTGTGCTGTTGTACTGAATATCAGTCACATGATCACCTGCAGCTCAATCGCAGCTGTGATGATATTCAGAACAACAGCACTTTGAATCTGTTTAATTAAGAATAACGCATAAAAAGAAACTTGAAAACATCTAATTATTCAGAAATAAAAATAAATAAATATCCTCACCATAGACAGTAACGCTAAACTTAATATATGAGGTTCCAGTGTTGTGGCTGATTTCTGCTTTATAAAGTCCAGAGTGATTGGTTCTGACATTTGTGATGGTGAGGGATCCAGTCTGATCCAGCTGCAGTCTGCCTCTAAATGCCTCATAATCTTCATATAAGATATCATTTCCATCAATTTGAGCAATGGTGGAACCTTTATCTCCAAACCTCCACAGTAGCAGGACAATTCCCTGTATTTGAGTAAGATCAGGGTTTAGAGTGACAGAATCTCCCTCCATCACTGTCTTCACTTCATCTGTTTCAGCATAAAACACTCCTGCAGAACAAACAGAAACAGTTTCTCAAAGATTAAACTCATACAAAGCTGGTGGTAATGATGTTGAAGATTTATTCATGACCAAGTCTTGTCTCATTAACACTGTTGGTCTTGGTTCATCTTCCATTCTGCCTGAGACACCAAAAGCAACATGGGTCGAGTTAATTTATTCATAACCTACACAACATTGTGGCAGTCGCCATACCCTGTTGTTCCCTTACGAAAATTAACCATGGTTTTATTATACTACAAGTGTTTTTTTTATTAATTACAATTTGTAAAATCAGTTTAACTATCAATTCCATGGTTAAACAGGTTAGTGTAACAAAACCATGGTTAATTTGTGGTTACCATATTTTAACTATAGTAATCATTTTTCTTTTTTTGGTTCTATTTGTAGTAAAAGTCATGGTTAATTTAAGGCAGGGGTCACCAAACTTGATCCTCATTGTTAATTTAAGGCAGGGGTCACCAAACTTGATCCTGGAGGGCCAGAGTCCAGCAGAGTTTAGCTCCAACTTACCTCAACACACCTGCCTGTATACCTAGTAAGAGCTTGATTAGCTGGTTCAGGTGTGTTTAATTAGGGTTGGAGCTAAACTCTGCAGGACACCGGCCCTCCAGCACCGAGTCTGGTGACCGCTGATGTAAGGTTTCATTGCCCCAAATGCGGTTTCCGGAATGAAACCGAAAGTGTAAAAGAATAAAAAAATCGCGAACTTACCACACATTATTAGCAAAATCAGAACGATTTTGTAAGTGCTCTTCATAATGTTTAAGATTCCAGCAAAATCTGATTTCGATTGATGTTATTAATATTATTAATACTCGTTGTTTCAACCACAGTACGCGACAGCGCGAATTAGACCAACACTAGCCCAATCGCGTTTCGACGGGGGTTCCCCGGTAAGAATCACATTCCGGTGCCTAAATATCACGTTATTTTGGCCGCTTCAAGCCGCGGAAACAGTGAAGCCCAATTCCGCGTAGCCCAATGGTCGTCTTCTTCTTCTTAAGCGTTTTTGGCGGTTGACAAATCAGCTAATAGGTGCTTTACCGCCACCTGCTGGACTGGAGTGTGGAACAAACTGGAGGGGGGGGGCATTACAAACTTCCAAGGGGGAACGTCAGAGTATGGAACTGTTGGACAGTATTGTATAGTATGTAAACATGCCTTCCTTGCTTTTGCACTTCCTATCCATCCAAAACTCCTAAAATTTGATTTATTATGTTCCCAACACTCTTGTACTATTGCCTTTGTAGGGTGTAACTCACTATGCCCTTGTATGTTAACCCAATATGCAAGCATAAGTTTAAGTCTTCTAATGCTTAGAGGCATCTCCCCAATTTCTACCTGTAAAGCCGCTACTGGAGATGATTTAAATGCCCCACTACATATTCTTAGCGCTTGCGCTTGCTCTATGTCTAATTTCTTTAAGTTTGTTTCTGATGCTGACATATAAGCTATACACCCATAGTCAAATGTTGACCTCATAAGAGCCCAGTATATATTTCTCAATGAAGACCTAGTCGCTCCCCAATCTAGTCCAGACAAACAACGCAAGACATTATTTATTTTCTTACATTTTGATTTAATTTTATCGATTTGCTCTTTCCATGTCAGCTTTTCGTCTAAAAGAACTCCAAGAAATCTAATTACCCTAGCTTGTTCAAGTTCTTGGTCATTTAACTTTAATGTCTTTGATATGGTGAAAGCAGGTTTTCCTTTTCTAACATGAATGTTAGTCGATCTGTTACCATCCTTTCCATTGTTTTCCCTAACTGAGAGGTTAATGCTATTGGTCTATAGCTTGAGGGACTAGACGAATCTTTTCCAGGTTTTAATACTGGTACTATAACAGACTGCTTCCATACTGTAGGGATTTTTCTTGTTTCCCGTATTGTATTAAAAAGTTTTAAAATTATATCAAGCCTGTTAGTGATTCTTGCTCGCTCCCAATATTAATTACATTATATTTAATTCCATTTTGCAAAAAAATAGCTACACCACCACCACTTCTGTCTTTCCTATCATTTCTTTATATCCATATAATACAAAGTCCCATTCTGGTTTCAACCATGTTTCTCGAATACATATGACATGAGGTTTATTTTGTAAAGTTGATACATATTGTTTGAACTCCTGACCATTGGCAATTAAACTTCTTGCATTCCACTGCAGTATATTTAATGTACTGCAGTATCTCCATCCCATATTTGAGAACTAGTAGTTACTCCTCCCAACATACTCTCTACTGTTTCCCTTCCCAGACCTTTAATTCCAAGATATTTCTCTGCTGATCTCACTATTATCTTGATTTTCTCAGTTTTCTTATCAGTTTGTGCTGTACAGTTGATCACATCTACAATAAATAGGATAAAATCTTTTTTGCCTCCTATCAACGTATCTTCCTTTATCTTGGCACAACCATCACATGCACTCTTTGTGATACCTTCTGTTTCCTTCTCTTTTGGTCTTTCTGACTGAACCAGTTCTCTTTTCACTGCTTCCGCATATGAGATCCCTTGAGATTTTCTCACTCTCTGAACTTCTGCTGCTTTCTTACTGATTTCACATCCTCGGTATGCTGAACTATGTTCACCTCCGCAATTACAGCATTTCAGATTTGCTCCTGCTTCACATTTCCCATACTCATGTTCTCCTGCACACCTTCCACATTTTTGCTTGCCTCTACACACGGCTGCAACATGTCCATACTTTTGGCATTTGAAACATCTTAGTGGTGGAGGAACGTATGGCCTGACTTCATAACTCATATATCCAATGTATACTCTAGACTGTAACTTTTCACTGTCTATTTTAAGCATCACTGCTAAGCTATCACATTTCTCCCCATTTCTTGTTGTTTTCAGACGTTTTACTTCAACCACTTTGGCTCCAGTTACATTGTCTTTAATTTGTTCAGTTGTTACGGCTGTAGGAACCCCAGAGATAACTCTGACAAATTTCTTATTCTCTACCCTTGTAATGACCACTCTTTGTCCCTCGATTTTATTTAGTTTGGCGGCCTTATTTTGTTGGGTATTGTCTTTACATTCCATTAGTAATGCTCCATTTCGCATAATTCTTGCACTTTTAATTTCTCCTATTAGTTTATTTAGTGATACTGTAAGTTGAATTGGGTTCCACTTACCAAATGATGATCCTTCCTGCACTAGCTTCATTATTACTTTGTATTCTCCGTACTGCTTATCGATTTCCACTGTAGTTTCTCCAATTCCTTGATCACTGTCCGTACCCTCACCATTTGAGATGACATCTCTGCTTTTTCCATATCACTAATTGCCATTTTCCCATTTTGATTTAATACTGGTATTTCATATTTCCTTTTTATGCCAGTCATTCTTTTAATCATTCCCCAAATATCTGATAATTGTGTCTCTCTTCCTATTGCATTGCAAAAAATTTTCCAATACACACGCTTCGCTGTTCTTATATTTTTCCGAACTACTGTTTGTGCTCTTTTGTATTGTATTAGTGTCCCCAGCGAATGATGTTTTTTCAGTTGTCTAAATACTTTATTTCTATTTTTAATCGCTTTCTTACAATTTTCATTCCACCAGGGAACACTTTTTCTCCTCATTCCCTCTGTACTTGTTGGGATTGCTTCCTCTGCTGACTGTATAATTATTGTAACCAGATGTTCATTGAATTCATCCACCTCAGCTATGTGCCTTTTAAAAAGTTCTTCATATTTAATTTTATTAATTATTTGAAATATATCCCAATCTGCTTTATTAAAATTCCATTTCGCTATTTTCCTTGATTCATCTTGATTTACCTCTATTCCAACTATAATCATTATGGGGTAATGATCACTACCAATTAATGTTTTATTTAAAACATCCCATTTTGTGGTACCCGCAATCTCCCTAGTTGTTAAGGTCAGGTCTATTACACTTTCCTTGTTTTGATAACTGTTATATCTAGTTCCTCTTCCATCATTTATACACACTAGTTTTTTCTCGTCAATAAACTCTTCTATACTTATGCCATTTGGATCTGTATAACTACTACCCCACAGTGTACTATGTGCATTAAAATCCCCACACCAAACTATTTTACCCTTTATTTGTCCTCCAATAGTATTCAGTTTATCATAAACAAGCCTTTCACATGGATTATAAAAGTTAATAATTGTGATATCTTCTTGCCCTACCCAGATCTTTACTGTTAGTGATTCTTGCTCGCTCCCAATATTAATTACATTATATTTAATTCCATTTTGCAAAAAAATAGCTACACCACCACCACTTCTGTCTTTCCTATCATTTCTTTATATCCATATAATACAAAGTCCCATTCTGGTTTCAACCATGTTTCTTGAATACATATGACATGCGGTTTATTTTGTAAAGTTGATACATATTGTTTGAACTCCTGACCATTAGCAATTAAACTTCTTGCATTCCACTGCAGTATATTTAATGTACTGCAGTATCTCCATCCCATATTTGAGAACTAGTAGTTACTCCTCCAACATACTCTCTACTGTTTCCCTTCCCAGACCTTTAATTCCAAGATATTTCTCTGCTGATCTCACTATTATCTTGATTTTCTCAGTTTTCTTATCAGTTTGTGCTGTACAGTTGATCACATCTACAATAAATAGGATAAAATCTTTTTTGCCTCCTATCAACGTATCTTCCTTTATCTTGGCACAACCATCACATGCACTCTTTGTGATACCTTCTGTTTCCTTCTCTTTTGGTCTTTCTGACTGAACCAGTTCTCTTTTCACTGCTTCCGCATATGAGATCCCTTGAGATTTTCTCACTCTCTGAACTTCTGCTGCTTTCTTACTGATTTCACATCCTCGGTATGCTGAACTATGTTCACCTCCGCAATTACAGCATTTCAGATTTGCTCCTGCTTCACATTTCCCATACTCATGTTCTCCTGCACACCTTCCACATTTTTGCTTGCCTCTACACACGGCTGCAACATGTCCATACTTTTGGCACTTGAAACATCTTAGTGTTGGAGGAACGTATGGCCTGACTTCATAACTCATATATCCAATGTATACTCTAGACGGTAACTTTTCACTGTTGTTGGGTATTGTCATTACATTCCATTAGTAATGCTCCATTTCGCATAATTCTTGCACTTTTAATTTCTCCTATTAGTTTATTTAGTGATACTGTAAGTTGAATTGGGTTCCACTTACCAAATGATGATCCTTCCTGCACTAGCTTCATTATTACTTTGTATTCTCCGTACTGCTTATCGATTTCCACTGTAGTTTCTCCAATTCCTTGATCACTGTCCGTACCCTCACCATTTGAGATGTTTTTTTGTTTATGCCGTCTACGCTTTCGATTAGTTTTAATGTCTACCGAATTCCAGTCTTTAAATTTCCCGCTACCTACTTCCATTCTTCCTGTTTCGCTATCAAATCCGTCACTTCCTTCTGCCATCTCCTGTCCATTCACAGTCCAGTTGTTGCCAACCGTCCCCAGTATTACTAATCGAGCCAGGCTGTTTACTTTTGTCCAGCAAATGCAGATCAGCTTGTTGTCACCGCCCAATGGTCTTCTTCTTCTTCTTCTTCTTCTTCTTCTTCTTCTTCTTCTTACGGCCTGTACTAGAGGACAGTCCAGGTGCTGCTGACGAGAGTTCGGTTTACCTGCGCTCACGAGCTTCTTCTTCTTCTTCTTCTTCTTTTGTGTTTAATGGCGGTTGGCAAACCAGCTTAAGGTGCATTTCCGCCCACCTACTGGGATGGAGTGTGAGGCCTCGATGAACTAATATATTATATACTACTTAAAAAAAAAAAAATAAATAAATAAATTCTTCTAATCAAATCTGTATCTCTCAGATATTTTAGAAGAAAATCATAAACCCTTAGATGTTTCTGTGCATTCTGAAATATATTCATAACTGAAATGTCATTGATTTCCATATCTCTTAGTTTTTCAACAAGTTGCTTTCTTTGTCTATTATATGCCTCACAATGTAAAAGCACATGTTCAACTGTTTCTGTTATTCCACAGTAACTGCAGCTATCTGACGCACTTTGTCCTATTATATGCAATGAATAATTAAGGTTAGAGTGTCCTATACGGATCCTGGTTATAACAGTATCTTCTCTTCTGTTTCCATATACCTTTCTTTCAATCCCCACTTTCTGTTGAATACTAAATAAGTGTCTCCCTTTTGACTCTTTATTCCATACGTCTTGCCACATACTTCCAACTGCTGTTTTAATAATACCTTTTACTTCTGTTTTACTTAAAGGAATTTCTATGTCAATCTCTTCTTTTCTCAATGCTGACTTGGCCAGCTTATCCACCTCCTCATTTCCTTCTACACCTACATGGGCAGGTATCCATAAAAACTCTACTCTTACTCCTGTTTGGTTTATTCTATATAAATTCTGTAAAATTTCATAAAGTATATCCTGTCTAGATGCTGATTTCCCACTATTTAAGCTTTTTAATACTGAATATGAATCTGAACAAACTACAAAGCCCAATATTCATGAGGTCTGAGTCTCAGGATTCCATATTTGGTGGTTATTTTGAGATAGATTTGAAGTAATATTGACAGAGAAATCTAGACATTCGTTACAGAAAAATGCATTAAAAAAATTCTTTTTGATACTTTAACGTTTTTAAAAAAAAATTGATTTTCTTCTTTAAAAAGAGACCAACCTTAGGTCTGTATTCCAACGTGTTCATAAATTACAACAATTTAAGTTGGGATAGTGCACTTTCATGCCTATTTTTAAAAATGGGGGGTGACAGTTAAGGGGTTAAAAACGAAACTAAATTTTAGGCACAGATATAACTGGGGTGGAGAACAAGAAAGATCCGGGCTTGACACGACAGGACAGGACTTCACAGGAACTTATCAGTGATCAGTGGCGGCTCGTCGGGGGAGGCTATTATATATTTTTTAGAATATTTAGTTGTAAGTTAGTGGACATTTCTTATTGCTTTTTTGAGTCAAATGAAATAAATTGAAATAAAAAAATAAATCATATTAAAGGGATAGTTAATCCAAAAATGAAAATCTGTCATTAATTACTCACCCTCTTGTCTTTCCAAACCCGTAAGACCTTCGTTCATCTTCA